CTACAAGGTCCCTTCCAACCCCACTTCTATGATTCTATGAAACATTTCTGCCTCTAGCTCAGAGGCACGGCCATGCCTAAACTGAAGTTTTGCCTGGAAAACTCCTCAGGAGGCCAAAGTTTAGCCGTCTGCTCAGTCAGGGTCATCCCTGACTAAGCCATCCCAGTCAAGTGTCTAACATGCTCTTCGAAACTTCCATGGACAGATTCCAACACTACACTAGGTAGCCTGTTCCAGTGATTGACCACCCGCATAGTAGAGTCCAACCTACGTTTCTTCTCCTGCACCTTGAGGCCACTGCTCCTAATCCTGTCCGTTGTAGCCACAGAGGAAGGCTATCCTTTACCTCTGTAATTACCCTTCAGGTATCTGAAGACTTATCAAATCCAGCCCCACTCCCATCTTCTCCACACTAAATAATGGTTGATAGTAATACCCAGATCCTTCTCTGAACTACTGCAGCCTGGCCACTGATCGCCCAATCTGCCTTTGTGAGTGCAATTATTCCATCTGAAATACAGATCACAATTGTCTCACTGACTCATCTAATTGGCTGCAGACCACTTTTCCAGTTTATCTAGGTTATTCTGGATCCTAGCCCTGCCATCTGGAGTATCTACAACTTTACCCAACTTGGCTTCATCTGCAAGTTAGCCAAGCATGCACTCGATCCCCTCATCAAAATCATTAATGTCATAAATGTTTTCTTGCCTTCTGTTGTACTGATATAGCATATATGGTCTAGTTGGAAAGCATATTATACTGTATCTATTTGTGTCACTTTTATCACTGTAAACATTGTGTTTTGCAGTCTGTGGACATCTTTATCATTTTTGACATGATTTAGCCAAGGGACTGAAGTATACATACTTAAAGACAACTGCAACTCCCAGCCACAGACAAAAGAAGAGACAGTATTAGGTAGGACACTCAAGGCATTGCTGGCCTGTACTGGGGACAATCAGCCCCTCTATAGCAAAAGCATCTGAGAGAAGTGGCCCATCAGCCACAGGTACTTCAGATGCCTCTAGGATAAATTTCTGGAGGATTCTTTGACTCATCAGCAATTAGTACAATGCTGAAAGGGAGGCTGGTTGAGATATACTTAAAAGGCAGCATGATATGCTTTGCCTTTTATATGTTCCCAAGCTGCTGAAATCAGCAGGAAGGCTGATCTCTAAAAACAATGGCAGGTTTCTCAGGAGGGCTAGGATGTAGCCAGATGATAGGGGAAGAAACTTTACTTGTCTTTTTATTTCTGTCTTCAAACCTGTGGTCATTTTCCCTTGTGCAATTGTTTTGTCTCCTTACTAGCTGCCTGTGGAAAAAACTGTGATCCCCGAGTAAGTAATATTTTGGGCTAGCCCTATCTAGGGAAAGGGAGATCTAAAATTTCTTTCACAACCCAAAGGGGAGGTCACTTAGAGTTGGCAGAGAATGCCTTGTTGCACTAGTAAGGTCTGGTATAAGAGGCCTGGAGCTGAAGCTTATGGGAATAAGGAGTTATCTCAGGGTAAACCTTGGTCTGTTCCTTAGGATAAGCAGGGGTACACCAGGGAGAAACTGAAGGCTCTGGGGATACTCCATCGATGGGTTTGTGATACTTTCCACATAGCTAAGTTTCTAGGTAAGGTCTTGCCATCTCCCTTCTCATGCACAGTATTTTTTCCTCTGTTTTGACAAATATAATCTTGTCCTGCCCATATCCAATAAGGAATGCTGCTGCAAAGATTTTTTTCTAGTGTTGCTTTTACCATGTTACTCCTTTCCCTGAATTCTTCCCTTGACTTCTTTATCTCTCTGGAATCAAAAATAAGTCCCCATCTTTACCTTCTGTCCCCATACCTTTCTGGCATATCTCCTCCCTATCATCTTTCATTAAGTATCAAAAGGCTACTTCTGTCTCATCAGCCCTTGCTGCCTGCTTTCAGTGCTAAAATGTTAAATTTTCAAACTTTATTTTGCTATCTCCCTGGCTGGTCCTCCTGCCTGGAAGGGGATTCCCACAGATTTCTATACAACCACCTCATCATCCTCTTTCAATTTCCTTCTTAAAACTCACTTTTGCCATGGCGATTATAAAAACATGCATACCCTCATCCAGTTAGGCTGCTGGTATATCAGTATTGCCAACCCCACCGTACCAAAAGTGATGCGACAAACTCTTGATGTGGCATGTAAATCCTGAGATGCTATTTTTGGAGTGTACGTGTGGGGGGCTGTGGCTGTGTGCATGTGTGTGTGTG